TTTAGCACTTTCGCTACACTTGCATTTATTTGCTCAGCTGTCAGGGAGTACAGACTTTTGTTTTGAAAAGTTCCAGCTTCTAAACATTCATTTTAAGGATGCATTAAGCAGGTTTCTGCATTGGGAAGGCCAGCATTTATCACAATGATGCTCACTTTCCTTAAGTAAAGGGCTGATTCTGTCATCCACAATTAAAATAACGCTGTCTTAATTCAGTTAGATGGTTTCTAATCATTCTGAAGTCGAGATTAGAGCATTGATTGCAATGGAAGTGTGATACAGGTACTCTATCCCAAATTTGGCTGCCTGAAAATCCGGTGTTTTGATATTTAATTAAGTCAGCAATATTTTTGCCCATTTTTCCGGTGTCCAGTTTGGTACACAGTGTGCACACATTCCAGGACTGCATGTAATGCTAGTTTGGGATCAAAAGAGGCACCCAACTCCTGTACCTCAAATAGGCAGTGCCCAAAGAGAGGTCTTTATGCTGCTCCTCCTTTATGCAGTTGGTTAATCTTCCACACCTAGCCAAAATTTACAGTGGCCCTAGTTAAATTGTCTTTGCTAAACTGCTTGAGGTTACACATCTGGCATGTGATTTGATGTCTAGTCTCATATTGGAGGAAACCTAAAATTTGACACTAGAGTCCTAAGAGTGCTGGACTTTGTTACCACAAATCTGATATCCAATGAGGGTGACTTGGCTAGAGAAAGGCACCTTGAATCTGAGCTACCTGCATTTTGCTGTTGAAATGTAGTTGGCAGTCGTTAATTTATAAACCTTTAATTTATATACTGCATTGCAGCATCTTTAAGATATTTGTTCTGCTGTAATTGAACTACATGAAATTCAAGAAGAACTACTCCTGCTGGAGGGAAGTAAAAATTGCTGTTTGAAAGATTGTAGGCTTTGTTTTGAACAGTCTAGTGTACTTGCTTCAGACATTCCCTAATGCAAAATTGTAATCATTTGGAATGCACAAATAGATTTTCCAAAACATGACCATCCCACAACCCCAATCAACCTTCCTGCAAACTGGAATGCGATCTCTAATTTGATTTACGAGTAACCTTTGAAATAGTTTCTCTTACTGTGAAAAGGGACTTGGAATTATCTTGAAGAGAAAATACGTAATACTACTTTTGTAAAGAGAGTAGCTTTTGAATCCTGTTATTTCAACTTTCGACAAATATCATTGGCAATCTGGTTACTAAGAAGTAGGAGACATGTATGTTAACTTCTAAAGAAGAAAAGAGAACTTAATTTTTTGAGATGTTTTCCTAGCCATAGCTGGCTGTAATATGAAAGGTAGCATATCAGTGCAGTCATGTACTTGATGTCTTCTGAACTTCAAATCCAGCTATTGTTTCTTTAGGGCAAAGGTAGACATTTCCATATCACCTTTTCTGTAAGTGCACATGCACGCATATGCTCATTGATACTGTTGGTCACACATAGCATCACAATTCAAACCACCCCATGAGCCATGTGAATAAACTAATTGAAGTGCCACTGTTTTTACAGTAATGTTATGGAGATTGAGAGCTCATGCCGATCTAGCTTTGTACTGTCTCTTTTGTTGCTGCCTCATGACAATTGATGCAGCGTTTAGCTTGAAATGTACTCCTACCAAGCAGATATCACCTGACATAAGAGCATAAGCAAGCACAGGCATAGGCCATATGGCTTCTTGAGGCTGTTCTGCTTTTTAGTGTGATCGTGGCTGATCCAGGCACGGACTCCACTTTCCTGCTTGCCCCCAGTAATAATTGATCTGCTCAATGGTTCAAAAATTCAGTCTGATTTCAGCTCTTAATATATTAAATGACCCAACCTTCACAACACTATGGAACAGAATTCCAATTTGGGGGAAGAAATTCCTCATTATCCTCTCATTCTTCTAAACTTGGGTGAGTTCAGGCTCAACCTCGCCCCATTCCAGGAATCCACTTCATGAATCTTTCCTGAATTGCCTCCAGTCCAGTGCAAGTTAATTGAGGAAACTAAAAACATGCAGTACTGTAGATGTAGGCACCCAATGTTCTGTACAGTTATAGCTTACTTTTATACCCATCTTCCTTTCAGTAAAGGCCAAATGTGCTGTTTGCCTTCCTCACTACTTTCTGACTTTGAGATTCATTTACAAGGACACACAGATTTTTTCCCATTAACGTTCTGCAATCTTTTACCATTTTATATTTGTCTTGAAACCACCCACTAAAGTGAATAACCTTGAGTTTTCACATATTTAAAACTGGCCTATGGTTTAATACTTTTTTGGTTCCTTCCTATTGAATATGCAGTGTGGTTTTCCAAATGGCAGGAACCAGAATCTGAGAAATGTTGGAAGATGGCCACCACTGCATCCACTGACTGTCTCTACAGCCCTTTTTCTTAAGACAATATGATAGACTGTTTGTCAGCCATCAGTCCCATTAGTTTGCCTGTACTCTCTGATAGTGAGTGTTTTTAAGTTCCTGTTTTCGCCTCTTGATTTTCTATGCTCCTTGGACTGCTATCCTTAGTGTCACCTAGCATGGAAGCAGATGCAAAATACTTGTTTAAAATCTCTTCTGTTTCCTTTTCTCCCGTTAGTAATTCCCTCGCTCATCTAAATTTACTACAGCTATGTTATGTACTTGTAAAAGCTCTTAACATTTTGTTCTTGTTTGTCTTTCTATTTCACTCTCTTGTCATTGATTTTTTTTTACAGTTTTCATGAGCCCCCTCCCAAAAAAATTTGAATCGTCAGTAGTAACTAAAAATTGATGGTCCTACTAACTGGAAAAAATCCAGTGATGGGTTAAACTTTTTAAACCTATATTGGGAAACTTTGGTATCAGGGACCTAAGGGGCAGCTTTTTCACATAGGGGGGTGCATGTATGTAATAAGCTGCCAGAAGTGGTGGAGGCTGATACAACTACAACAATTAAGATGGGAAGGATAAGGAGGGTTTAGAGGGATATGGGCCAAATGCTTGCAAATGGGACCAGATTAATTTAGGATATCTGATCAGCATAGATGAGATGGACCGAAGGGTTTGTTTCCATGCTGTATAGCTCCATGATTCTGACTTGAATTGCCTGTACCCTCTTGATGGATCTTTTTCCCCCCTGCCCGTTTAAGTAAAACCCTTGAGGGGCTTTTGGCTACCTGCAAGGAAGCCTATATGCAATAAGAACAGATATCGCTTCACACTGGCAGAAGCAATTGTGACTGTTCTATGCAGAGCATTCTTATCGTGCTGTCATGTGTGTTTTGGCCACAAGAGTCCCCCAGAGAGTTGTGTAGACGATAAAGCAGAGTGCGTTTGCAGAAACTGTGCTTGCAGTTTTCACTCCAGAATCTGAAGTCTTCAGTGAAATCATTTGGATTAGTTTGAACATGGACAGCAGTCTAAACAAAGTGATCTTGAATTACTTCATATGAAGTGACACAATTAATCTACAGTTCTGGCCTTGAATATGGTCAGTTGCAGATTGAGCAGAATGATATCTGGGCTAAAATTATTAGGATGGGTTACATCGAATAGGTGTAATATCCCTTGAATTTATAGGATTAAGGAACAATCTGTTTTGAGTGGATTAAGAACATTTTAAAGGGTTTGATGGGGTGGAAGTGGGAGAAGCCACCTCAAGTGGGGCGGGTGTCCTGAACAAGAGCACAGAAACACAACGTAACAGGAGTGGAAATCTAGTACTGTGTTTTTGGGGGAAATCATCTCTGCAGATCTTGATTCATCCACAGAATTCATATGTTTATCTAGTCCATATTTGACTTGACACGTTTCTATCACTTGTAAATTCAATTTTCAGTGTAGCGATGTTTGTACTGGTCTCTGCATAGAGACCTGAAAACCATTATTGTTTAATGTAGAAATGGCTGGAGAAACTCAGCAGGTCTGGATGCATCTGTGGAGAGAGAAACAAGGTTAACCTTTTTAAGTCCAGTATGAAAGTTTCAGAACTGAAAAGAGCTGGAAAAGTCATTAGTTTCATTGGGAAGGGACAGGTGAAACAAAAGGTTAGATGGGTGGGAATTTACGGAATCATTTGTTACAGCTTGGAAGGCCAACTAGCCCATCGTGTCTGCATTGGCTTTCCAAAGAACATCTCGTCAATCCTCCCCATTACTCTATGCATTCTTCCTTCTCAAATAGCCATTCAATTCAATCAAAAGGGATTTGAATAAACCTGTCTCCATTAGGTGCTCAGATGGTGCATTTCAGTCCCTTTAGAAATCAATTGGCATGGTAAAAAAGACAAAAGAAATGCTAATATTGTAGTGAAGAGACAAGGCAATGGTTTGTAGTAGAATAAAGGCCAGCAATTACTGAAGCAAAAATGGAAAAAGAACAGATACTCGGCAAAAAAAATCAAAAATGATGTTTATGGTCTGAAGTTATTGAACTCCAGTGTTGAGACCAGAAGGCAATAAAGTGCCTAAGTGGAAAAAGAGGTACTGTTCCTCCAGTTTGCATTGGGTTTCACTGGAACACTGCAGCAGGCGGAGAGCAGGATTGTGTTGACGTGGTAAGTGACTGGATGGCTGTCCTTGCAGACTTGAGTTTGACACAGCAGGGACCCAGGCTACATTTTGTCTCCCAAGTGTAGAGGAGGCCATGTTATGAGCAGCAACTATAGCAAAGTACAAGTAAATCCCTGTTTCCCTTGGAACCTCAGCCTCTGGAGTGGGGCTTTCACCTCACTCAGAAAGCGGAGTTCAAATCCCGTGACTGCCTTGGCTGCCACTTGAGAAGTGCTGTTTGTTTTGGCTGAGTTGGATGCGTGTTCACAAGTGCTGTTGAATAAATCTGTGAAGTTGAGAGCACTGGTACAGTAATTCGATATGGAATATTTTAAACTGCATGGTTTTTGGCTCCCTTGATTCAGCAATTGATGAGAACTTTATTGTATAATATTCATTTTGGAAATGTCATTTCATATTTGGGAAGATTCATTACTAACTGTTGTCCTTTTTATCTTTTTTGTTTTTCAGGAAACCCAGCGTTTGCATGCAGAGCCGGTGCCTGGTATCAAGGCAGAAGCGGATGAATTCAACGCACGTTACTTTCATGTTGTTATAGCTGGTCCACAGGATTCCCCATTTGAGGGTGGAACTTTTAAACTTGAACTATTTCTTCCAGAAGAATATCCTATGGCAGCTCCAAAAGTTCGTTTTATGACCAAAATATATCACCCAAACGTAGACAAGCTGGGCAGAATCTGTTTAGATATTCTGAAAGGTAGTGAATGCTTCTAGTTTCTGCATGTTAATTTTATAGTATACTTGTGATCAGTGCATTTTTAATTGGAGAGTTAATGTCATGGCTTGTAATGTTTTGGTTCCACAGATAAGTGGTCCCCAGCTTTGCAGATTCGTACAGTGCTGCTATCAATCCAGGCATTGTTAAGTGCTCCAAATCCAGATGATCCATTAGCGAATGATGTAGCCGAACAGTGGAAGAGCAATGAAGCCCAAGCCATAGAAACAGGTACCTGTGACTATTTGATAGAAATTAAATGGACAGCTCTAGCTACATATGTGACATATATCTAACTGTTGTACAGCGGCAATAACCAAAAAGATATGTCCCTTTTTGACATCTTCATTTGAAGATGCTCTTGCCTGCTAATAACATGTCATTTGGATTAATGCCAGCCCAAGCCATTTCCTTTCCTGGGACTTCTCTTGGGCCACGCAATACCGTCTTTCTTTTGTGGAAATGATTGGGGCCAAGTAGTAATAGTCCATTAAGCTAGCAATGAATGCTTGACTTTTTCTGTGTACCTAGATACATTCCTAGGTGGAATTCTAAGTATAAATTGGATGATGCCAGTTGTCTCAGAATATCACTTTATGCAGTTGCACTGTGGGTGTTGCACTCTGGGTGATGTTTCAGGTAGAAATATCCACCTATTGTGAAGTGTGGGAGAAGAGCTTTGGATGTTGTCATTTTTGATTTTTTTATTGTAAAAAGATGGTTTTGTTTTCAAGTGTGAGAATTGAAATTGGTTAAATGGTAAACTTGTAGCAACAAGCAATCAAAAAACAGTACAGAAAAATATAGCAATATGCTGTTTCCACATGACAACCGTGTGCTTAAATGTGTTTTTCTCTTGCAGCCAGGACATGGACTAGGCTATATGCCAGTGGGAACAGCAATTCCAGATGAAATTGAATGCACATCACAACCCTTGTTCTGCCAAGATCTCTCTCCTTGCATTCAAAGAACAGTCTTAGAAAACTGCTGAATAAACCCAGACAAATAAAATTCTTGGTGTTTAAATGCATATTAGAGACTATTTGTCATGTTCAGATTCACCATTAAAGCATGAGCAGAGTCTATACCACTTTGCTTTTCTATTCCCCCCCTTCTGCCACCCAGTTAATTTGAAAGCAGCGATGCACCTGCTTTATTTACAATGACTGGCGTTTTTTTTTCTTAGCACTGTGAATGAAAATCTGCTTAGTTAGCTGCTCTATTGTAAGTTTTTTTTTTTTTTTTTATTTTCTGGGTTTTGTTTTTTGCAATGCTAAAAGCAAATTTGAAAGCAGCTAACGTGTACACATTAGATCATGCCCTTCGCCAAGAGTAGTAACCTTTTTTTCTTTTTAGGTGCACTAGATTAAGCAGCTTAGCTGGTTATTAGTTAGTCCAGTCAGTAAAGGAAGAGAAGAAAGCAGCGCATCAATATTGTGACTCTCAAATGTAGATCCTGAGAAAGCTTGTTACTTTGTATGGCTTGTCTGGGGGTGGGAGGGGGACAGTGTGGGGGAAGAAAGATTTCTGTAAAACTTTGTTTTAGTAAACTTTTTTGTTCCATTTGACTGTTGTACCGGTGTTGATCTTTCCACAAGCGCAATGCGGTGAATAAATCTGATGTTTTAATGATTGAATCCATGCTCATTAATGAAAATTATCTACATCCAAAGGTGTTTCTCTCATCTCAATCCATGAAGTGTTCAGATCATGTATGCTGCCCCAATGAACTCAATAATTCTCTTGGGAGTAAATCACCTGTAACTTGCATTGCAACCACTAATAAAACTGTATTCCTTTTTTAAATAAATCCAATTAATCTAAATGTGAGAATGGCTGAAAAGATTCAGTATTTTGAAGCTTTTGTCTTCCAATTTCACAAATATCAATTTAAGGGAAAAGCCATCATTATACTGCATGCAAGGAATGTTTTGATTTGGTTGATAGGTGGACTCGAGTAGAGCCGTTGCCATGGAGAATATACCCATTGATGCTGATTCACAAGTAGGCTTTTTATTGGTTTCCAGTCTAAATGTTGGTTTTCCCCTTGAATTTATGTTCTTGTGAAATGTCCAGATTACTGACACCTTTATTGGTAAGATTCTGATCATTGGTTAAATTGATGCAATCTAAATGATTCTTAAATATTGTTGCCTTATCTTCCACAATCTCTCTCTTCTTTCTATTATTTCCCTAGCTCAGTGGGTGGACTTCATCCCAAGTTACTTGCATCCACTGCTCTTCATTTGACCATGCTTTTGTTTTAATCAGTGAACATTGGTTCTTCACTGTCATTTGGCTTCCAAATTATTGGCCTTCTGTCATCGAAACTACATTCTTACACTTGAATTACTCAATTGCTTAAGATTTTAAGGATCCACTACTGGTCTTTCCTGCTGAACTTGACCTTTCCTTTTTGTTTCCAGTTTTTTTAAAAATCTCATTAGTGTGGTTTCTGGTCAGAAGTTCATTTTCCTAAATTTTAAGTATATTTCCCTATCATCTCTTATACCAACTTCCAGCTACGAGTGTTCTGCTCTTGAGGTCACTTCTGCACATCTGGCTCTCCATTCCATTGGTGATATATCCAATATGTTCAATGCTATTTCACTTTTCAAATAACTCTGGAATCACTTACGTTCAACATCTCCTGCATGCTGTTCCAAATTGACTCCACACAATATCTGCATCAACTTTATTCCAACATAGTACCTCTTCCTTTTATCTCTGGACTCAGTCCTAGTGTCTCCTCTCTTCACTTACAGCAGGATGTATATGTCATGACATTGATATGTAATTTGAATTTCCTTGCATCCTTTCACATGCATATTTTGACTGTTTTGGATCCAAGCTGTCTCCTGCTCTCACATTTCCTTTGATTTCTCCTCGTTTGCATATTCTACCGTAACTCAGCAGTGAAGTCTAACCTTTCTACTCTAACAATCCCAGCCTTACCTATGCATGCTCTGAGAGACTTGCCACTGGCTCTACACAAGTGCGAGCTCTAAGGTTTTAGAGTAGATTTGTAGCTTGGGTTGTGGATATTGTGGCTGGTTGGCTCACCCAGCTAGTTTGCTTTTTCGAAGACGTTTCATTAACCTGCTGGGTAACATCATCAGTGCAGCCTCCGAAGAAGTGCTGTTGTGTTTTCCCGCCTGTTATTTAAACACTGGTGTCCGTTGAGCTGGATTACCTCCCTTCCAGTTTTCCTTCACAATGGAGTATATATGGGGTCTGGCTGTGTTTATTCATGGCTTTCTTAATGGAGAACCAGGCTTCTAGGAATTCCCGTGCTTGTCTCTGCTTTGCCTGTCCCAGGATCCTGGTATTGTCCCAATCGAATTGGTGATTTCCCTTTTTATCCATGTGGATGGAGATTAGTGAGTATTGGTTTTTTTTTGTTGTTGCTAGTTGGTTTGTGTACCCTTGTGGTTAATTTTCTTCCTGTCTGACCAATGTAATGTTTGTCACAGTCTCTGCAGGGAATCTTGTACGTGACATTGGTCCTGTCCATAGTGGGTCTTTGGTCTGGGTGAGCAGTTGGTGTGCTACTCTGATGCCCAGCAGTCAGTTCAGATGTGTTCCTAATGTAAGGAAGCATGGGTGTGTAGCATCTTCCTGGTGTCATTTGTATCTAACGGGCATCTTCTGACCCAATTTTTTGGGTATCCATTGTCTTTGAATACTTGGAAGAGGTACTCTTTTTGGCATTGCTCTATGCTGCTGCAGTGTGTTGCCTGTTTAATTAATGTTCTCTCTCAATTTTGTGTGTGTTAGGGTGGTTGCTATTGAAATTCAGTATTTGGTCAGTGTGGTTTTCTTGTCTACCTTTTTTTTTAGGAATTCACCATTGGTCCTGTGTTCCACCATGACATCCAGGAATGGGAGCTGGTTTGTTCCTTCTCTTCTCCGGTGAATCTGATCCCAGTGAGGGTGGTGTTTACTAGTGTGTGTGTTTCCTCTAGTCTGGTCCATTTAATAATGACAAAGGTGTCATCCACGTAGTGTATCCATAGTTTTGGTCGGATTAGCAGAAGGGCTGTACTTTCAAGTCTCTGTATCGCTGCTTCAGCTATTAGTCTGGAGATAGGTGATTCCCCTGGGTGTCCTGTTGATCTGTTCATAGATTTGGCCGTTAAAGGTGGTGAAGTGGGTGGCCAGGCATAGGTCCAGTATGTTGTCTGTGGGGGTAGTATCACTCTGGTCTTGTTCTAGTAGTGTTGTCAGTGTTTTTCTTGCTAGTGGTATGTCTATTGATGTGACTAGGGCAGTAATGTCAAATGATACTCTGGTCTCATCGTCATCTATTCTTATATCCTTGATGGAATTGAGGAACTGCTGGAGTGAGTGGGGTGACTTGTTGACAAGGTGTTCTAGTCTCCTTTGCTAGTCTGTGATGCTGGGTCTGAGGGGTACTTTGGGTTTGTGTACTTTCGGGACGCCGTAGAATCTGGGAGCGTTAGTTCCTTCAGGTTTCATTCTTAGGAAGTATGTCGAGAATCTTGTTGCGGTGTCTGTTCTGTCTGCACTTGCCACTATGTATTCTCATCAGATAGTAGTGTTTGTGCCTTGGAGAGGTAGTCCTGTTTTAGGGTTAACATCACATGCCCTGTGTCTGCTTGTAGTATCGTGATGATCTTGTCCTTTATCTGTCCTTTATCAGTCCTTCACGTGCCTTCCTTTCTGATCAGTGTCAGGATCACTATCTTTAGAGCTTGTGATTCTTCACTGATGCTGCTGGTCTTCAGTGTGGCTAGAAATTGCTTTGTTGAGAGCTCTAACTGCTCATATCTTCTCATCCACACTTCCTGTCCAGTATGTTTTCTCAGGATCTCCCTTTGGTCTGTGCCAATGGATCAATCAGCTCCTCCACGATATCCATTCTTCAATCGAGAAAGATCTTTTGTTGTCCTTGTGTCTGAATCCTGATTTTATTTACATTTATAATAGCCTGCCAATTGCTGTGGCTAAGAAATCAGTGGTCTTTCCCACTGCTTTGCTTGCTTTCACATCCTTTGCATTTACTTCTCCTTTTAAAAATCCTGATCTTCTATTACAAACCCTGTTACTGTTGTCTCAGTTGAGATTTTGTTGTTTTCAGCCTCGAGGTCATTGCACTCCTATCATCTAACTGCTCCAGCTAGTAGAAAAATTTGTTACTCAATTCACAGCCACCTACTTGACTTTTGGGGGGCTTGGATGTCCTGTACTTGGAAAGGTCATCAGAAATGGTGTTATCTGTAATTAAATATTTATGTCCAGTCCTGGGTCAGGGAAACAAACCACTACTAGAGGGCAATTAGGGTAAACACAAACTCTCCAATATTTTTACCTTAGTGATCATTTTATTAAAGATGAGGACATTGTCTCATTTAATCTCTGACTCAAACTTCACCCCTCTGTCCTTTCCCAATGTGTGTATACACTTGCTTCCCTAAACCTATTCTTTGCTGTTGTATGATTAAACCCCTCCAGTCAGGTTTGTGCCCCTCACAGCAATGCAATGGTCTCTGAATTAGAATTTGATTACTGGAACTATATAAATAGCTGCAGTCTTGAAGGCAGGCAATGTAGGGTTCACTAAGCCAAGACAACAATATGGGCAACTATCATCAAGTTAGATCACCTGTAATACCATCTCTTGGTTGTCTTTCATCTGAAAATGCATTGTTACCAGACTATTACCACTCAAACAGTAGCTGATAGCAGTCCAGGCTGAGCAAAAGTTTACCGTGGAGTCCTTGTGTTCTCCCTTGACACTGCCTGAACTAGACCATTCACAACCTTAGGCTCAAGTTTCTGTATTAGTTGGTCCCTTTAGTCAAACAGATCACTGGCTGAGTGGATAGTGCTGACTGACTGGGAACAGTGATGGTATGATTAAAGGCTACAGCGATTTACCAGTAGAAGCTTCAATAAAAGGAACAATGGGGAAGAAATGTCTGGTTTGTGTTCTTTGGGTAGTCTGTAGAAGCAGGGGATGTCTCAAACTGGCCAAAAAAAAAAACAAACCAAAAAAGAACATTAACAATCAACCAACAACAATCACAATACTATAGATGTACTACTAGCCAAAGAAACACTTACCATATTCCTGCTGCATCCAGTAACTTAGACTACTGGAGCTATGCCTCACCACATCTTTAAAAAGAGCCAAATATACACAAACAAGTCAATGCTCACCCATCTTGGGACTTATTGCAGAGGCAGGCGTGCAAAGATTGGAATACACCACCCTCTTCCTCATACAGCCGAAGCTGTGGATCTGATACATAAATAACACAGTTGTGATCACTGAGACACACCATCTCAATGTTTTCACTGTTGTCTTCCTCCTCTCAAATTTGATACCCATCAACTTGTTTCTAGATGTCAAAAAGGTAGAACAAATGAGCAGTGGAGAGTTCAGAACCAGTGTGTAGGAAAGCAACCCACACCCACCAAATCCTCAATTTCCACAGCAATCACCCCAACATCCACAAACAAAAAGTGTCCTAACAATTCTAACAGGCCACAACTCACTGCAACACACTAGATTGGTGCAGGAGGGAGCAAAGACTTTGTATAGGTTATCCATTGTTAGGAAGAGCACCTAACAACAGATAATCCAACAACTTCATCCCCTGGTGCCTACAAGATTGTCCTCTTGCTGTCATCTCAGTATGCCCCAGTACACCAGAATGGACAAGGCTGCTGTGACCACTTGGAATCATGGTAGTACACACAGCCACACCACAAACACTCAAGGATCAAAGACCCCATACCCATGCCATGCAGGACCAACATAGTTTACAAAATACCTTTGCAATGACTGCAACAAGCATTACATC